TTGCTGATATAGAGCAGGGAACATTAGATGCTCTAGAAACAAATACTATAGACATGCAAACAAGGATGAAAACAAGGATAAAACACTTTAGTAAAGAATACACAAAAATATGATGAGTTATGATCTCAACATCTGGATTCATAGCGAGACTAGCACTTTTTTTTTTTTTTTTGGGTATGAGAAACTAGCATGTTTTTGCCACTGGAGAATACTTACCTACTTCCATTTGGAGAAAAGCACAGCGCAAATACCTCCTCTAGCGTACTCCTAAGTACATGGAAACTTGGTGAGCGTGAGACTAAGCAAATGCACTTATCAGCAAAAGAATTTGCTGGTATCCGGTAAGCATCTGCTATATCCTCACAGACTGGATCCCGAAAGGAGATGCAACTAACATATATTTTTGAACCATCACCCTCTGCATCAAACTTTATATATTAATATAGCCCACATCCCAAGGTAACAATTATGCAAGCAAACAAAACTTGCAACATCAAAGTGAAATCAACTAAAAAATCTGCAGAAAACTGGAGAAGTCATCATGACAAAATGTAAACGGAAGTATAAATGCAATATGCATGCTAGATCTGCCTTAAGAAATAAATGTAATATGTTGATATGAATAGATGATCTACTTTAAGATAACAATGTACAACTAAAAAACAGAGTAACTTAGTTTACTGACAGCATACAAAGTAGAATGTGCCAAATATCGTACTAACTAATATTTTGCAAATATGTCAAACAAGAGTAGAGTTCATGATTACATTCTAAGGCAGATGCAATGAAGCAGTTCAACTAGGTAAGAAGAATGTGATAGCAAATCAAAAAATCTTGATACCTCTCAACCTAATCAGTAATCAGGTTTTTGAATTAAACAACTGAAGAAGATGGGAAAAAAACAGAGGACGAGATTCAAGATATTAAAAAAAGGGGGGGGATAAGCTATCTTTCTAAAATCGGTACACATGGCATGCAGAACTTGCTTCAATAAGGTGGTCATGATGCTGGAGAGGGCAGCCACTAAAATTTTCATTTTACCGCATCTACCCAAGATAATCAAAATTAAATAAAAAATGCTATTCTATTTGCTTAACTTGATAAACAAGGTTGAATTTGGGATTAATATTCGTTGACAATTATCACTAGCTATTATGAATTGTTACAATAACATATAAGTCTGAAGAAATAGGCATATTCATAGAAAAAAATAGATCCGAATTCTATAGCTCAGATTAAAGATACGGTCTCATGTTTGGACAGCAGATCATAAACGTATGTTGAAGTCAGCAACTAAAGGAACCGCAAGCAGGTTAATGGATTTCCAAATGAAGCAATAAAATGGCCGACCAGATCTCCTTAAACTTCAATTGCCATTAGAACTGAAATGGAATTAGACAGGAATAGGAGGAATGCTCCAGAATTGGGATTATATGACTTGTTCAAGTCCTGTTCTTTGATTACACAGCTTCAACAGTGCCCCTCACACATCTTTTATGAAAGAAATTACTTGTATTTGAATATATGATAGCAAGAGATCGAAACTTCTTTTCTCCTGGATTCCTCACACCCAAGGGATGCTTCTCTATATAGTCCTAGCTTGAGTAGTTTATCCACGGGCATCTTTCATATAAAGTTTAATTATTCAAACATTACTCCTTTGGAGGCATGATGCAACGATCATCACAAAACAAGAAACTATCCGGCTGTTTGTTGCCGTATGGAAGCAATGCAACATCTCCCATACAGAAATGCACTTAGTTTTACTACTGCTAAGGAGCCTCTCAACTAATTCCACATTTCTTAGTGTAAGAATGGTGAGATATATGTGAAATTTCCAATCACTTAGTAGTGATTCATTATTACTAGAACTGTGAGGTTCAGAGCACACGATATAAGAAGGCTAACCATCAAAACAGGGAGTTCTAACACACCGTCGAGAAACCAATGGTTTAATTTCGAAAAACGAAGAGAAAATGCTTGTAAATAAATGTACCGGTCAAAACAATCGGATAGCTCCTCGGAAATGTCGAGGGGTCATCGGAATCAAACCCCGAAGAATAAAACTCTACACCAGCTGGCAAAACACACTGCAAGAAAGTATTACTCAAATCAGATCAACTTGAAACTGGAAGATAATTCAGAAATGAACTCTTAAATTTCCTGAATGTAACGAACATACACGCTTCCGAAATTGTAATAAAAAAAAAACACTTTTCAGTTGGAAAAGGGAAAAAAAGAAAAAAGAAAGCAGATGAGGGTGCAGTGTCCGAGCTTTCTGTTGAAGAGCTTACAGTGGGAAGCTGAGGAGGTGGAGGAGGGCAGAGAGAGTGATTAGGCGGAGGGTACTGATCGAGAAGAGAAGGGAGATACATATATCCGGTACCATGGAACCCTTTGCTTCCCTCAAGAGTTCGAATTTCGGGGCCGATCCCACACACCACAAAATACTCGAAGACTGGGGCCATTTCAAAGAGTTATCAATGGCGATTGAATAATGCAATCTCCACTCCCCCTTTCCCTCTCTAAAACAGGGAGAGAAGGGGGCGAACTTAGAAGACTCCCAGATCTGGTTCCCTTTGTTTCTCCAGTTGACGAATGTGACGATGAATGCGTCTCCCGAGTTTTCAGATTTCAACTTCGATTTGTATCATTTTTTCTTTTTTTGGGAAGTAGCAAGGGAGTTCAATCAGTTAAGCTTGTCATACAAGAATACTATAAAAGCAATCGCCTCTGTTATGGAATAAGGAAGAAGCGAAAGAGATCAATTAGCCATTGTTCAGACTCGACTCGACCATCCGTAAATCTCCAGTTATACTTTTCGCTGTTTCTCGTTTGGCTTCATTAAAAGTGTGCCACGCTTCCACCGGACGGGAAGTCGGTGTTCTGCGTTGCATGTCATTGGGATTTAATCTCAGTTAAAATTTTATTATTTTGTTATTTTTATTTTATACACATTACACAATAACACAATAAATAAATACAAATTATTCTAAGAACGATTGGTACTGCCAAAAGATCTTCACAACATGGGAGTATTCATTTTTGCATAAATATTAATGTAATGTTTATTTTATTTTATTTCAATGTTACGTAATATTGATACTCTCTTAAAATTGATTCAATGGTAAGAGCCATTCTCATGCTGTGAGGAAGTTCGCAGGGATCAGGACTTGAACTCAACTCGAATAATGAGAAAAATTGTCAGAGACGATTCTCCATTTTTTGGGGACGTTAATGTCGTAAAGATTTTGATTAACTAAAATGAAAGGGTAACATACAAGCAAAGCAGTCGCGATGAGTTTTAATTATGATTATGATTATAGTAACAAGTAACAAAACATGGGAAATGGCATTCATTAATTAGTCTGCGAAGGTCTCTTGTGATGATTGCAGCAACAAATACTTGAACTTCAGTCCTTCAATACAGAGTAAAGTGCCTTGAGTTCAGAAGCATTCACTGTTAATGGGGATTTGAAAATATGTTTGTGAGTTCTAACTGGACAATTTGTAACTATATTTTGAATTTTAGTTACCACCTCGCATTGAGGGAAAAGAACTTGTGTGTCAAAGTCAAAAACCATATTATGACCAAAGCAACTAAAAGACTCCAACAAATGTGTTCCATTTTGTAGTTGATGTTCAATCAAAAAACCAAAAACAAATGTGTTATCAATCGCAGTAAAAGGATGTTATCTTTCATGACAAAGAAAAGACTAGGAATGGAGAACACAAAAGAAAAGGCTAGGAATATTTTCCAATATGAGAAACAAAAATATCCTCCATTTTTTTTTTGACACAATATCCGCCAAATTAAAAATTAGCAAATCCACGAAATATTACGTTATAAAGTATTTAGGATGAATGATAAAAATAAGACAAATTAAAGGACTTCTATTTTTATATTTATCTTTTTTTCTCCTTATCATTTGTTGATAATGTTATATATAACTAATTTGCAACCACAAAAAGATCTCGATTCAATAAAAATAACTAGAAATAGAAAAACACAGTCATATTTAATCACAATTAACATGTCTAGTTTTAAGAGCTTGTTTGGATGACATCCAAAACCATGGTATGAAAGGTAAAATCATGGTTTGGATAAAATGACATCCAAACAGTCTCAATTTTTTTGAAAACTTGGTTATAGCTGAAACCATAGTTTTAAAGGCTGAAACCATGGTTTGGTGAGAAGTGAAAAATTGTTGATTCTGGGAAGTGAAAGCTGAATTATTGGAGTGATAACTAGGAGTCAAATAAGAGCAACAATATATTTTGACCAAAAACACCCAAATTAATAATTTTCACAGAAAATTAATAATTTTCTGTTCACAGCAAAATAATTCATCTTCTCTAAAAATATTTTTACTCTTATATTTTATAAATATATATACATGTAGAAACAATTAATTAATTAATTATATTAAAGATCGAAGTATGCTGTACAAAACTTAGTTGTGAAAAAATGTTATGGGATTTTGTGTTTAAAATCTTTAAAGAAAATTAATATTTTTCTGTTAGCGAAAAAAAAAGTCATTTTTCTCTAAACATATTTAATCTTATATTTTATAAATATATATATTAATTATTTATTAATTACATTATTTTATATATTATTAATTATGCTGGTAAAAATATATATTATTAATAATTTTATTTCTTCAAATTAAAATATATTATAAAATCCATGCCCTTTTTAGTAATTTGTACATAAAAAATACTTCTAATAACAACTATCCAAACAATCTCACTTTATCAAAATTACTTTTTCATAAAATTTATTCTTTCCAAAATCTATTCTCCAAAAGCTATCCTCAAATCATAGTTTGGTTTCATCCAAACACCCCCTTAACTCAACAAAACAAAAGTTAGGATGCACCATATCCATACTTTGGAGCAACCTTGTTTAAAACTCAGCAGCCATCATCTGCAAAACACTAAAATGTGTATTTTTCATTCCACGAAAAAAAAATTATTTTTCAAGATAAGCAATTTAAGTTTTTTTTTTTTTTTGGGGACCTGGTAGATGAGCAATATAAGAATGAACCGATGCAGTTCTTACAGATGTCTGGAATAATATTTAATATCCAAAGATCTGTCTTGAATATCCAAACATTCTTTCCCGTCCCAAACTTCTCACTATAAATCATTAAAACTACAGGATCATTAAAAGTTTAAAACAGATCATTTGCAGTCTGCATCAGCGAACTTTTGCCTTTTTTGTCTGTCCTTGGACCTGAAATGCAGCACTAGTCTTCCTCCAAGAGCGAATGGCAATAAGCAAGGGTATAACAAGCCAAGAAGCATTTGCGCCAATATAATATGTGAAGTAGTAAAACTGGTTTGCAGAGAAATTATCACCTTCCAATATTGCTGTGGTAAAATAAACAACAGCTCCATATAGCTGTCCCAAAGAGATGGCAAACTGAAGTATATAGCTATATGACTTTCCACAAGCTATTGCATATCTGCATCCATATTGACAGTAGCATTTCATTAAGAGAAGTGAAAAATAGAATTAATACAGACCAAGTGTGAGAATTCCCATTAAAGCGTCATAACATAGTTCAACTTACACCACAAGAAGGCTAGCTGGACCCTCTAAAACTGCTGTTATGCCTTCAACAGCAACAATACCTGCATCCCTCGCAGCATACCTTGAATCCCCTTTGCTGTATTCCTTCCCTGTCAATTGCATATATGGAATATTTAGCTAAAGAAACACTGATCCTGGAAAGGTACTCCAAATTCCAAATGTTAATAATGTTGTATATGTGGGACTTACAAACTTCAGCCAGGTAGCAACCAGTCTTATCCTGGTAAAATTTTGGTGAGAAAACAAAATAACCCTCAAGTATCAAGTGTGTGAGGCCTGTAAAGGCCCACCAGCACATTAAAAATCGATCACTTTTTGTTATCTTGGGAAGGTATCCTGGGAAAACACAAACGTGTCAAAAAAAGATGAGATACCATCCAACAGATCCACTAATCGGAGAAGAGAGAAACTTGCATTGAAATAAAAATGCGGAGTCATGTTGATCCATGTTAAGCTTTACTAGCAACATAGACTCTCTGCGGTGTATCCATTGCATGGGACAGCCGGAACGAATGATTCCTGATCAAATATTCATAGTTCTTGTAGGATAATTATGAAATAACAAAATAACACGTTGTGCCTTAAACAACACGATTGCGTTACTTCAAAATGTTAATCCAAACAGCATCGGGTAATTCCATTTGGATTGCATGAGAAGAGGATATTCTAATAATAGACTTACAGACAAAAAACTACTCATTATTAAAATAATATCAAGTTTAAAATATCAATCATCAATCAATGCATATACAAATTGCAGGAAGTGGCACTGATCATAAATGGTGAATTGTGCACTTCAGCACTGCGTGGAGTCCAAGATCTAACTAGAAAGAGAAGTTAATCACAAAACATCTGCATCGATTTTTATCGTATTCTACATTTTAAAGTTCATGGGTCTTTGTCCTCGCCATCAACTAAATTCAAGAACACTTTTCACTGATTAGACATACTCATCATTCAGGTACAGCATTCTGCCAGCCTAGTATAACATGCTCTGTAATAGACTACATATACAATCTTGATAGTTCAACAGAGAGCACAATTGAAGAATTTAATTGATTACTGAAGTACATTCACGAGATAACGATGCAATTCAAATATCCAAAAAATAGAAAGATGTGAGTGAGAGTAACTGCTAGGAGCGTAGAATTTCAATTTCACTTACCAACTGCGAGTAGTTAAACAAGGAGGCTCAACAAATAAAGCTTGGAGAAGTCAATGGAAAAGAAATGAAGCAATCCGAAAGCGAGATAGACATTCCTACCGGAGAAGATCCAGACGGAGGAGACGACGGCCAGTGAAGCGATGCCATAGACTGCAAGAATGGTAGACTGAGAGAGGAAGCACGGAACAAAACCAGGAAGAATCAGGTCCGTTGGTACATAAGGATGACTATGTAGAAATTCACCCATCCGCGCCGTTCTCTGCTGCGACGAGCCAACAACGGCCTCGCGGAGGATTAGGCTAGGAGCGAGCGGTACAGCTTGTTGCGGAGCGGAGCGTCTCCTTTTCCTTTCCATCCTCTTCTCCAATCCTCACCTTTCATTTTATCTACGGTCAAAAACACACACTTAACACAGCTATGCGTTTTGCCAACAGACGCGGGTTTCCTTTCTCTCCCCTTTTGGCGGCAAAATCATGGAAATAGAAATAGAATGCTACTTCCATCAATCCATTGCTCTAGACATACTCAGAGCTTGATCCCAGTATTCTTTCACCGTAAGCAACCAATCCACCTTTAATGAGACCTGAACCAGTTGCATGAATTGTATTCCCAAAAGATTAGACTATGATCCTGTTGGAGGTTGAGGTACCACAGTTTGCGATCCCATATTAGCGTACATTCTTGCTGCCATCACGAAAGGCAAAAATCATTACTAGATGCGTAAAATGTAGAGGAAGACGTGCTCATTTCTCAGACTCCCACGCATAATACAGAAAAGGAAGCTCAACCAATAAGAAGCTATTTCACTAAACTATATCAGCTTAAATTATAATGTGATTCATGCCAAGAATTTTACAGAGGCCCCACCCCGTGTGCTTGTAGACTATAATTTGCGATATTCACAAAGGCATAGAATAAACATTTCAATCAATCAATAACAAGATGATCGTAAGGGTAGGAATGCTTCACAGGTTGAAGAATAAACAATTTCTGATCCAAATTGATTCAGCGGAAGAAAATAAAAGCAAAACAAGACATACGCAGAAACGCTAGTTCCACTACTGAAATAAGTCACCTGTGGTCAGCATTCACTGACTCCACCGGAAGGTTGCTGGGTTCTGCTTGATTCAATTACGTTCGGCGGCGTAAGGCAGTGTCAAGCAAAAATCCCAAGCGTCAAGCGCGTCTTTGGGAGAGAGAGGAAACCCGCGTCTCTTTTTAATTGTGTCCCTCTTTTTTTTTTTTTTTTTTTGGACAGAAATATTATACTTGTATATACAACATCAAAAGTCAAAGCAAGGTTAACTTATACCCTGCTTACAATGTTTAGCGTCAGAAAGTAACACACCCAAAAAAAGGGATGGGGGATTTAAATCCCAACCTAAACGGCGCATCCCCTTGCATCCAGTTTTGGCCAGCCAATCTGCTGCCAAGTTACAAGATCTAGGAGCAAAAGTAAGGGACAAGGAAAGGTCATTACTAAACAACAAATCTTAAATCCTCAACAATCCTTGTGGCTTGCCATTCAGGACAAGAATTCTGGCCTTTCACAGCATAAACCAATGGCTGGCAATCAGATTCAAAAATCACTGGTCCCAGGTCTCTATCTTTTACCTTAAAAGCTGCTTCATGAAGTGCATGTGCTTCTGCTTGGAATGCTGAAGACACCACACAAGGTTTGCAATAGAGATCCACCGCTTGCCCATTTGAATTGCGCAGGATGTAACCAATTCCGCCTCTACCATTATCTGCATTAAACGCACCATCAGTATTCATTTTCAAAGAATCAGAATTGGGTGGAGTCCAATGGTTGCTTGGAGTAGCTTGATCAATAATTCTATTATTGCAATTAAACAAATTCCTAGAAGTCCAAAATTCATGCGCACTATTAGTTGCGGAATTAATGAGCCAAATAATGTCAGGAGCTTTGAAAGCAAAGACTTCATTGCATCTAGTTTTCCATATATACCAACAAAGGTAACCAAGAAGGGATTGAGCTAACTCATCCATCTTTAGGTTTTTTAGCATTTGAAACAACCAATTCTCAAAGCTAGTCACATTCAGATCATGCACTGTTAAAGAAAGAGGAGAAGCAAACCACACACGCTTAGCCCAATCACAAAGAAGCAAACAATGTTCAATAGTTTCAGGATGAGAATCACAATGGGCACAGAAAGGCGTCACCCCACAATGCCTCTTCCAAAGTGCTGCTTTAGTTGGGAGAGCTTTGGAGCAAGCTCTCCAAAGAAAATGTTTCACTTTTGGTTGCACCTTTAAGGACCAGATCATTAGCCAAAGATCCTTATCAAGAGGTTGTGAGGTGCTGGGTCCCATTTCCAATTTTTGCAGCTCTAATTGTTGCAACCATTGGTACCCATGCTTAATAGAATATTTGCCACTTGCATTTCTTAACCAAATCAGATTATCCCTCACACTAAAATAAGGCAAGTCAATAGCAGAAATGCAGTCTTTAATTTGTTTAGGGAGAATGATTGTATCCAAGCACCATTTACCATCCACAATTAGATTAGAAACAGTTAAGTTCTTCTGATCATCAGGCACATTTAGTTTAGGTAGACAAAAATCAGTTAAGGAAGGAACCCAAGGATCATCCCACACATTGATAAGCTCACCGTCACCAGTCTGCCACATGATATTATCTTTTAAGACATTCCTCCCTTCAAGAAGACTATTCCAAGCCCAAGAGGCCCTTGAACCTTTTCCGGCCTTCCAGAAAGAAGAATTGGGGAAGTAGATGCCTTTAAGGATTCGAACCCAAAATTCATTTGGTTCTGTCATGATCCTCCAACATTGTTTACCTAAAAGAGCCAAATTAAAGGCCTGAAAGTCTTTAAAGCCCATTCCCCCATCTTTCTTCTTTTTAACTAATTGATTCCAAGCTCTCCAATGAATTTTCCTCCTAGATTCATCCCCTCCCCACCAGAAATTCGCAATGATTCTGTCTAGCTCCATACAGGTTTGTTTAGGGAATTGGAAGCAAGACATGGAGTAAGTTGGGATGGCATTAGCAACTGATTTGATCAAGGTTTCCCTTCCAGCTTGAGATAAAAAAATTTTATTCCACCCTAGCACTTTTTTTCTCACCTTATCCCTAACAAAAGCCAGCGCCTCTACTTTGGATCTACCCCAAAGAATAGGGAGTCCTAGGTAACGACCAGGGGAGTTTGCGTTAGGTATACCTAAAGCTTGGCTAATCATGACTCCCACCTCTACAGGAGCATTGGGTGACACAAAAATACAGGATTTATCTAAATTTATTCTTTGTCCTTAGGCCCTACAATACTCATCAAGAACACTGGTGAAGACATTGCAATTCTTTTTTGTAGCTCTAAAGAAGAAGATAGAGTCATCTGCAAAGAGACAGTGAGAGAGCACCGGGCAAGCCTTAGCTAGGTGGATACCTTGCAAATCTCCTCTATTCACATGCTCATTAACCATTCTAGATAGGACATCAGCGACAAGGATGAAAAGATATGGGGAAATAGGATCCCCTTGTCTTAAACCACACTTTGGGACAAGCTTGTGGATAGTTCTTCCCTCGACTCTCAAGTCAAACTCCACAGTAGAGACACATTTCATAACATGTTTGATCCAAATAGGGTGAAATTTCATTTTATGAAGGACAGCTTCTAAGAAATCCCATTCTACCCTATCGTAGGCTTTATTCATGTCGAGTTTTACAGCAACTTCATGTACATTACCTTTTCTACTTTTAAGGAAATGGAAAGCCTCATGCACAATAAAAATATTGTCTTGAATCATTCTACCAGGAACAAAAGCACGCTACTGCTCAGAGATTACTTTTTTTAGGATGGGTTTAACTCTATTGGAAAGCAGTTTAGAGAACACTTTGTAACTGAAATTACACAAGCTAATAGGTCGGAAATGACCAACAGAATCAGGAGAGTCAATCTTAGGAATTAGCACCAAATTGGTAGAGTTTAGGTTTTGCAAATCAGCATCATTCTCAAATAACTCTCTAACCAATTGACAAATCTGGGGGCCTATTATTTCCCAAGAGTGGTGGTAGAAGAGTCCAGGAAAACCATCGGGGCCAGGTGCTTTTAAGCCCCCCAAATCAAAAGCAGCTCTTTTTATTTCCTCATCCAAAATAGGAGCCATTAATCCTAAGTTATCAGCTTCAGAAACCACAGCTTTCACATAGGAAAGGACTAGATCTAAATTGCGGGCTCCCGAACCAGCAAACAGATTTTCATAAAAGTTGGAAAAGCAGGAGTTAATCTCTGATTGGTCATCTACCCAATTTCCAGCATCATTTTTTAAGCAAACCACTTTATTTCTTCTTCTGTGTTGGGCTGTAATATTGTGAAAAAATCTAGAATTTTCATCCCCCCAATTTAGCCAATTAATTCTGGATCGTTGAAACCAGTATTTTTCTTCCCTCCCCCAAATGGCCTCAGTTTGGTTAGCTAATTCACTAGCCTTACCTGCAGAATCCTCATTCCAAACCCCTTCATAACAATTCCTGAAGTCTTCCATAAGAGTTGCAAGAAGCTTTTGGTTATTAGGAAATTCAATCTTGCTCCATTTAGTCAGGATTTTCCTAACTCTATTCAGGTTTGAATTAAAAGCATGAACCACACCACTTGTCATCTGCTTATCCCTATTCCAATTAGACTCAATAAGCTTCTGGTAATCTTTATGCTCAATCCAGTTCAATTCAAAACGAAAATCTTTTGGGCCTTTTATACCAGAAAAATTCAAATGTAGAAGGATTGGCGAGTGGTCAGAGCCTAACGGTTCCAGATTACATACCTGCGCATTTTGATGCTTCTCTCTCCAAAAAGTGTTGCAGACTGCCCGATCTAGTCTTTCTTTCACGTTTGCCTCATTGAGTCTCTTATTTGACCATGTGAAAGCCAAGCCTTTGGCCCCCAAGTCCTCCATGTCACATTGAGTCATGAAGTTCTGAAATTCAGTCAACGAGTTTAAATCTCTGGTGTTTCCCCCTTCTTTCTCAAAATCAAACAGCAGGTCATTGAAATCTCCACAGCATAACCAAGGTGCAGCATTCCCAGGATTAAGGTTCTTCAGTCTTCCCCACCACTTTCTTCGGTCTTGCTCTTTTGGAGGTCCATAGACTAATGTTAGAAAGCCAAACTCCAGCTCCAAACCTTTGAGGACCTTCAAGTGGATCATGTTTTTATCTGATTTGATAAAATTCAGTTGTAGATCATCATTCCACCAAACTGCCAAGCCACCTCCTATTCCCACTGGTTCCACATAAATCTTGTTCTGAAACTTTAGTCGCCTGCGCCATTTCTCAATGTTTTCCATCTTGACTCTAGTTTCCATCAGAAAAAATAGAGAAGGTCTAAATTTAGAACACAAGAACCGCAAGTTCTTGCCTGTCAGGGACGACCCCAATCCCTGACAGTTCCAACTTAAAATACTCATGGCGACTTGTTGGCCATTTGAGGCTGACCACCAAGCCCTAATGTTGTCGAATCACATCCTGAATCTTGTTTTTCCATTCCTTCAAAAATATTTGTAGAGACTGCTTCCAGCACTGGAACTTCTACCAAGTTACCCTCACTCACTTCAACAGATTTCTTGCCTTTTTTCTTTCTTATTTTTGGAGGTGAGTTCCTTCCTATAACAAATGGTTTTTCATTTTCTTTGTTCTGGAATATTTCCGCAGCTTTCTCAAACTGATTTGCAACTTCAACCCTTGCTTTTTTTGATAATGATGACTCCCAAGTTTCATCTAGAGCTCTTTTGAGGCTAACCTTTTCCATCTTTTTTACTAAAGTCCCTTCATATGTTATCTGTAGTAGGCCCTGCTGTGGCATATTTGTATATCCTTCCTCACTATCCTCAGGCAATTCAACAAAATACGGTACACTGGGTTCTGGTCTGTAGGACTTAGCCTCTTTAATAGGTGCCTCCATATCAGTTTTGCCTTCTTTTCCGTCAACACAATCTTTTCTAGCAACTGCAGTAATTTCCAATGCCTTTTTAGGTTCTGCTGGCTTTGGTTCATTTATTTTTAAGGGCCCATTGTTGAACAAGGCCCTTCTACAATCCTTTGGAGTGGACTCCCCTTTAGCTTTTCCTTTTTTCAGATGTTTTGGTGGGCTGTTTACCTCATCCATATCTAGATCCAACATCGGCTCATTATCATCATCAATTTTCCCTTCAGTAGATTTACCAACAGGGCTATTTACACTCCCCACACCTTCCTGCCATATCGATTGTTTTGCCCCTATCACTCCTATACTACTATCTCCACCAAAGCTTACCTGTACACCAGTGACATTCACACTCTTCTTTGAAGATGATGATTCGCGTGCTGTCCCCATCTGTACTGAGTCACATTCACCCTCACGAATCATGATTATCGGTGCCACTGCCCTTAATGGGTTCACCCTTAAGTCTGCGGTATACATTGGTTGAGATGGTTCTTCCTCTGACATGACTTTTTGGTGTTCACAAATCCTATACTCATGCCCCACCTTTCCACAGTTATAATAGAAATTTTGGAGTTTTTCAAATCTAGTGTATGCCCATACCTTGTCCAGGTTAGGCCGTGGTACCCAGAAACCAGCTACTAAAGGCTTTGACAGATCCACTTCAATTCTAATACGAACAAAGCTACAGATATGGCAGTCATCTGGTCTTGGATCTTCAAAGCAAACAACCTCGCCTATTCTACTTCCCATCTTTACAATATTCTTCTTAGTCATTGCTGCCCTCGGGATATTATGGATTTGAACCCAATACATACACCTATTCATTAAGACTTCCTTTATTGTTAAGAAAGGTTCCCAAGGTCGAAGATTCAATAGATACCCATCAAAAGCCCAAGGACTATCTCGTAAGATCCGTTCATAATCCTCTTTTATACTAAAATGAAACACAAAGGCATTGTCCTTAGAATCACTAATTTCAACCTTACCTTTCAATCTCCAGATACGCACAATCATTTTCCGAAAAGTTGGAAGGTTCACTTGCTTGGAGGAAACCAGCTTCCCTACTAGTGAGAATCCCCCCTTCTTGCAGTCTTCATCCTCCCAATCGAGTTCACATTCATTCCTATCCTCCATTACTACCTCCATTGTGCTGAAGAGAAAAGAGTTGTTCAGCAACCCATTGCGAACTAACAAACAGCAATACTCGAAAGAAGCCTTAGCTTGAGGTCTTGCAACGACACCAAAACAAAGTTGGAACAGAGCACTTAAGGTGGAAAAAGAAAGGGGAAGGGAACGGGAGAATTTAGAGATGGAGATGGTAGCTACAGTGAAAAGCCCTAACGTAGGGGTTTTTCATTGAGTTGCTAAGAAGTTGGGGTTAAGGCGAAACACGGGTGAGAGAAGGTGTAGAGGAGAGCAGGAAGCACGGTGAAGATGGTCTGTGAGAGTGATTGTAAAGGCACTCACTTGATGGAGTGAAGAGGCGCGCTCACTTGTCGGAGCGATGGGTCGCTCTCACGAAGACGGAGAGATTAGAAGGTGCAATACTACCATTAATTGTGTCCCTCTTAATTATTCTAATTACCATTGCATATGTTAAAGAAGTTTGTATATTCTAATCCCAAGCGCCAACTTTCTTTTTATTACGTCACCAGTATATCTTAAATATGACATTCAAATTAATTGTGTCCCTCTTAATTATTCTAATTACCATTGCATATGTTAAAGAAGTTTGTATATACTATTTTAATATAGGAGTATTTTAGAAAAACTAATACTGCATATTTTTAATGAATGACTCATTTAACTACCTCTCTTAATCAACATAAATTAGTTAAATAGATATTTATAATTTATAAGTCATTTTATTAAATTTTCTTTTTTTTTATGGGAATTTTATTAAATTTTCTTAACATAGATATATTTCTTGTAATTCTAAATATAAGATTTAGTTTGTAATTTAATTAATTTTAGGAAAAATCCTAATTAAATCTACTTGAGTTATCAAAATTCAAACTAAGGCTTGCACTTTTAACAAATTCCTAATTAAGCCAAGAGGCCTTATTAGAAATTTTTGAATATAGTTAAAAGACTAAAATGCCTTTTTATTATTTAAATAATATTATTTTGAAGACAAAAAAATTAAACCAAGAAAACTTGAATAGTATTTATTTTTAAAAAATATTTTACATAAGAAAATTTGAAAATACTAAAATTTATACTTATAATCAATATGAAATTGTATTGGAAATCTAAATTATTTTTCCAATATTTGGATGGGACAAATGGAATAATATGAACTACTTAATATAAACTTGTACAAAAGAAAAAAAATCATAGAACGTATAAAGACGATAGATCATTTAGCAACATCTCGAAAAAATAAAAAAAGAAGCTAGGTCATAAATTGATTAGAGTAATTACCAATTTGTTAACTTAAAGGGACATTTTAATCTTTTAACAACATTAAAAAATTCCTAATAAGGCTCCTTGACTTAATTAGAGATTTGTTAAAGTGTGAGTCTTAATTTGAATTTTGATATTTCAACAGGGTTTAATTGGAATTCTCCCTTAATTTTATCTTTTATTTGTTATATTGATTATTATTTTTTGAAAAATTTATATATATTATGTAATTTTATTAAAAAATTATTAAATTTTAATGTAAACTTAATGGGATTTAAGTTTTTTTTCCCCCAAAAGTGAGTTGTAAATATCACCAAAAGATTTAGCAAATGCACATTCAGTGGCTGTTCAGCAGAATAATTGGATTAGGGAAGGCGTTGGTTAATATTCTGTCAGACGTGGTTAATGCTTGCTACCGTTTGTTTAGTTCTGTTTGTTTCATTCCCGCTTCTTAAGTTCTGTAGTTGGTTTTGCTCTAAACTGGTTAAATTGGTTCTTTGTTTCTTTACTTTGGCACGGCGGGTGTTAGGTTGTAATGATTGGCCTTTTGGAGAGTATATTTTTCAGTTTAGATTACTAGTCTGTGTAACTTTTTTTGTTGTTGTGATCAATAAGATGAACCCTTTCGGCATGAAAAAACAAAGGCTAAAGGAGCAAGTTTTTTTTGGGCCAGTAAAGGAGTAAGTTTTAAACATTACCGTATTAACATTTGGCCAAAATAAACATTACCGTATTAATAAGTTTTAGAGTTAAGATGCATTTAATATCTGAAACTATCTTTGAAAGTAATTCTAGCGTTCTATAGTATTTTGTAATGCAATTTTACTATTAAAATGTTACCTCCGCTTTTTAATATTAGAGTTCGTTTGACTTTTATTATAGTTTTAAATATAAGACTTTAATCTATTTTATCTCTCATATTTATTCTTTTTTTTAAATAGTTACTGTAATAACAGTAGTTCTAGCTAATATGTTTTATTAGTAAAAATATTTAAAAAAATAATATTTATTTATTATAAATAATTAATTTAACTAATTTTTTAATGTATTCAAATTAATCAACAAATTGTTATATTAAGAGCAAATGTAGCACTAGAAATGGAGCAATTTCCACCCAAGTCAGCAGGATATTAACCTCCGCTATCTCAGTGCCCCTGTTCATCATCTTCATTAGACCGAGACGCGACCTTAGCCACTGTTCTCCTCTTTCGACCGAAGACGGTGAGCAACCCACCATTCTGATCACCAACGATGAATGAATTTCTCCTCTAATTGCTGGCACAGATCTATTCAATCTGTATGTCGGTATTGGCGTCATAGAGCATAGCAATCCCACCAAAAAAAAATTTGAAAAGCACAACTCACTTTGTTTTGTTCATCAAACAGAGCATCATATGCAACAATCAATCAACCTCATCACCGTACAATGGAGGTCCGTGAATAATCGAAAGTACTCCTTTAAGAAACTCTATAGAACGTCCATACCTAACCTTCCTATAAGCTTTACTCCTCTAATCCCATTTATAACAGAAAATATATTTTTGCTCATATTTATAAACATTGAGAGAAATTTTTTATATAAATTTACTTCCTCCGTTTCTTTTTATAAGCAACTTTAAATTAGAAGTTCTTTCTCTAAAATACTTTTATTTACTGGGAGAGAAAAAATATAAGAAAGAGAATAAAAAAATTATTATAATAAAAAAATTATGAAAGAGAGAGAATACAGATGGGGAGAGACTGTGGTTTGAAAAATAAAATAATAAATATATTGAGTATTAAAATAAGTAATTAATGAGAGCAAAATAGAAAATTTTTTACAAAAATTTAAGACAACTTACAAATGTTGTTTACATTTAGAGACAATAGGAGAATGGTAGTTGTTATTTATAAAAAGAGATGGACGGAGTACAAATTTATCATTCATTTATTACTGTATTTATATTATTTATATAATATATATATTAAATAGAGATAGAGTTAAAAAAATTTAGTTTTTAATAAAAATTAATAAAATTTAAGATTTTTCTTGATTTATATAAAATACATTAAAAATAACTTATAAATAATAGAAGTAATTTCTAACCCAGTTCAAACATCAATAGAGCCGTGGCCTTCCTATAGATATCTGCTTGTTCCTTAGCAGCATAAGTCATCAAGTCCATGAACAAGTTAAAGCCGATTCTCGTTTAATTACTTAATTTTTGTACAGTGATAATTTTTACATTAGCAAATCAAAAAAAATAAAACTTTTTCAAGCTCTTTTCTAACTTTCTTCCTTTATCTCCCTACTTAATTCCTTTCCTTCCCTTTTATCATCGTCCAGGCTCCTCTGCTGATTCAATTCCCAGTGGCGCCTTTGGTCCTCCCACGAAAAAGCTCATCATACTTCTCAGTGAAGGAGGAAAATAGCGGCTCAAGTCGCAACCCTAGCGTGAAAATGATGAATAATAGCAATCACCGTGAGAGAGATAACAGTTCTGCTCATCTGGGGTGTGAATTACATCATTTTTAATATATTAGAAGCAAAACTACACAATTAAATATTTTAGATTGTTGGATACACGCTCAAAAATAATTCAGGGTGCATTTAACCCTAAGTTCTATACAAGAAACACAGCCCACCTAAGTACTTTTTTGGATGAGTGTTGTTGTTATCATCATTAAAAGGAGGATAAGGCCAAGCCATAAATAGTGTCGACTCCAGACTCTTTTTCCAGGAACAGTAATAGTGTGGAGCCTATGGTCTTAATTGTATTATATAGTCGTTGTCTCTCCTCTGTCTTCGTCCTACCCACACCAATCTTTTTTCTTGTGTTTCATGCCTTTTTTCTTTGTCACACGAGTTTCTTATTCATTTCTCTTTTATGTCAATTTTTATAAGAAAATTTTTTTAAAAATACTTCTAAAATAATTAAAATCTCAGATTAAAAATAACTAAAAAATTTATTATTATTTATTTTTAAAATATTATCAATTATTATTAAAATGTGATAATGAAAAGTGATTTGAAATTTTAAGATTCAAAGTTATTTTTTGGTATTAGCCGCGTGCCGCCGCCGGCGCAGCAGTAACAATGACAGTCACAGTTGGGCAAGGTCCAATAATAGACAGCTCACATGGAGGCTAGAGGACCGCGGAAGATGTATGAGATTAATTTTTAAAAAAAAAAGTGAAATAATTCTTAAAATAATTGATTATACAAAAAAATATTAGTTGTATTATTGTATACAAAGAAAAGTAAGTTGCATAAAGAAAAGAAAGATGGTTTGCACAAAATATTATTTGAATATAAGAGATTAGTTTGCACATAGAGAAGATGATTTGCATATAAAAAAATTTTATTTGCACAAAGAGAAATTGAGTTGCACATCCCACAAAAGAACATTATTGCACATAAAAGAAGATGAATTACACAAAAAAAAAAAGTTAAATTGCATACAATAAAAATTAAGTTACACAAAATCCTTAAATCTCATTTACCAATTAAATTTTTAATAAGAGATATATCCCCAATTTTTTAAAAAAAATTGTGCAATTATGATAAATAATTGAAAAGAATAACATAAAAAGATTACTAAATCTCAAATAAAAAATTGTAACAATTTTGTAATTTCAGTATTGTCAAGACCTATTATAATGCTGTTACAAAACCTAATTTAAGATTTAATAATTTCAACTTTTTTTTTAATAAAGTTCTTCCTAAATAATTCGACATGCACCGATATCTTTTTCAAACC